TCATCTTTGGGGCTGGATCCAGACAAGCTGGGGCCTGCATCCGGCCCCCAGACCTGAGGTTTCCCACCCTTGTCCTAAAGGATCGGCCCAGCCGGCTCTCTTGGGTGAGATCCGAGGTATCAATCACCCTGGGACTGGGGCTGGTCCTTTGGGACTGGGAGGATCTGTCTGGAGCTGGGGAGATGGGTTAGAACCTCTCCCCTGCGTGAGGAGGGGCTGGGTGGGGCACAGGGAACACCAGGATGGCAGCTGAGGTGCTCATTGTGGCTGGTTTGGTGTCTGACACAGAAGGACGCCAGGCTCGGGCTGTGAGTAGCCCTGTCTCTAGGCAATTTGCCCTGACTTGCCCCCTCAGAAGCGCCGCGGGGGTCGGACAGGCAGGCCGCTCTGCAGGGCGGACCCGCTCCTAGGCGTGTCCCTTGCGGCTTTGCCCGCCCCCACCCTCACGTGGGTCTGTGCATGTGGGAGCCAAACCAGGATCCCGTGCGCCCAAGGGCGGCTTTCGGAGAGCAGAGAGGTAGCGAGTGGGGGCCCCGTGCTCTGCTGGACCGGTCTGTTCAGCACCTGCAGAGGCCACCTGCCAGGCGCAGGGAAACCAGCACCTCTGGCGTGGGGTACGGGGGCGGGTTATTCAGGGATCCCTCACGTGGGGCTGAAATGCAACCAGCTCTGGGGAGGGGCACGGGGCTGGGCATACAGGGACCCTGGTGCCCCAGGAGCTGCAGGAAGGAGGCTGCGGCCCAGACCTTTCCTCTCCTGCCCCAGGGCTCGTCTCGCTGATCAGCCTCCTGTGCCGGCCGCTGCTCCCCAAGAGGTACGGGGGCGGGTTATTCAGGGATCCCTCACGTGGGGCTGAAATGCAACCAGCTCTGGGGAGGGGCACGGGGCTGGGCATACAGGGACCCTGGTGCCCCAGGAGCTGCAGGAAGGAGGCTGCGGCCCAGACCTTTCCTCTCCTGCCCCAGGGCTCGTCTCGCTGATCAGCCTCCTGTGCCGGCCGCTGCTCCCCAAGACCTCAGCCGCCTTCCCCTCGCGCTGAGGCCCCCACGTGGCTGGTTGTGCTACATGGGCTGCCTGGCCTCTTCTTCCTTCTCCCGGGTGGTGAGAGCTGGGTGCTCGGCCCGCGGATGTGGACACGGGGTCATAGTTAGATACCCTGGTGGGAGGGGCTATCTGGGATTCCAGGGAGGGAGCTGGGGCTGAGTGGGGCTCTTGGGGGGGGGCGATAGGATAGTGTGTGTGGGAGCACTGGGGATATGGAGGAAGGCGAGGGGTCAGGGTAATGTGGGGGAGGGGTGTCTGTGCCCCATGAAAGGATCAGGCCCACCCCTGAGGCTGGCACGCACCCAGTCCCCTCCCCCCCCAACAGGGCCCAGTGACCCCAAACACCTCAGCTAGGTGGGTCTCCAATGATCTCCCAGGTTCCACGGAACAGATTCACCGGTGACCCCTGGCCAGAACTGCTCCCCCTGAGTCACTGTGTGTGTGTGTGTGTGTGTGTGTGTGTGTGTGTGTGTGTGTGTCCGTCCCTGCTGCTCCCCCGGGGTATGTA